ACAGCAGAAGAAAAGGAGAAGTTGTGAAGGATACACTTTTGCTAATCATTGTTATACAAGCCAGCAAACATCAAGAGCGACTTTCATTGTTCTTTTTGTTAAATCTTCTGGCTCCTGTGTTGTTTGATTATAAGCCTCATTGCCTGGGGAATCATTTTATTGGGTCACCTTACTGAATTTGGTGACCCTGCTTTGGCTTATAAAGCTGCCAAATAAAATAAATTTCTTCCACCTCATTTCTCCGCTTATAACATAATTAACCCCGCTCAGCTGTCCTCACCAGCAGATCACATAACTGTCTCATATTTACTCAGATGGGAACATTAACTGGTTCCTCAAGCCTTGGTCAACAGACAGGAGAGAACCTTCCAGTCTTGCCTACCTCATGGTTACACAGACAAGTTAGCTTTATTTGCTCCCCTCAGTTTTTAATGAAGTACTAAACTGTCCCCATTTTTAGAAGCATATTAGCTTCAGTTTGAAATGTTTGTACTTAATTATACTGTTAGTTGTTTTTTATGATTCACAGCTGATTTAGCCAGATAAATGCAAAGGGTTGTGTCAGGAACCCAGGAAGAAAGTCTTTATGCAGATCGGGATAATTCCACAACAGGGTGGCCAAAACTCAGATTGAGGTTAATGATCCGGTGTAGTGAACCCCTTAAACTGTTGTGCAGGTAATGTGATTGATTTGATTGTTTCTTAGCAAAACATTATCAATGGTGGGGACTGATTCTACTTAGAGAAGATTATTTTTGGAGTTGATCCAGGAAGTTGTGGAAAGGTTCTTTACTATTCTGAAATAGGCGAAAAGTGGACATTTCACACCATATTATGACAAATATATCAAAATGAAATTTGGAGAAGTTAGCTTGAAAATAATGCTACTTACAGGTGCCCTTTCTGACCCGAAAGCAAGCCCCAAGGAATTTGTGTCTTCTCCAAGAAATCACATACTCACTCAGATCCAGATGTGGATCCTACTGGATCCAAACACTCAGAACATGCATGTAATTATCATCTTTATCTGTGGTACGCAGTCTGGGACTGCTACGTTTGTATTATTTTTGTCAATCAACGCCTACTTCACTTACTCTTTGATTTTTACAGTCCAGGTTTAATGCAATTTTTCCAGGAGATTTACTGTACACTTAGAGCCCACACAGTCAAAATAGATGACAGACCAGAAGTGAAAGTGATCACACCTTTTATAAACGAGAGAAATGTTCCTGGGCAATAAGAGGGCCAAATAAAGAGCTATTAACCCAAAATTCTGGCTATCGTCTTTATTCCAACTATTTTCTAAAAGACTGAGTTCACCTTGTGACTTTAACTTATGAATAGAA